AACGCTTCGTGAGTTATCGTGAGTTTCTGAATGTTAACCTTTTCGATCACGCACAGCTCTACCATGGGTGTGTGCGTGTGCCATACTCGTATGTATATTTAAGCTGCAGTTCTGCTGTGGGTCCGTGTTAAGTGGCGCCCGCTGTTTCGTTGGCAGCCTCCAGCATGGCCACCCTAGCAATTTGGGCACGGCGTTGTATCATTCGTGTTGCTGTTGTTGTCGTTGTTGCTGCTGCCTCTACCCTCCTGGTGCACATTTTGCGCCTTATTTATACGGCATCGTTTCAATTTTTATGGCTCGAGTTGTTGCGAATTTTTGCTTTTTAGTAAGGAGCCAGCAAACTTTCCGCTTTTCTTTTTCACTTTTTTATTCATTTGCCACGCAAGGCAATCGGGTTCTGCTTGGCGTGGCACAGTTGCCACAGTTGAGCTTTAATGTTGTTTTGTTCGGTAATCGATATTGTGGCTGTGTTCGACGTTCCTTGCTGCTTCGTGTTTCGTCCCTCCTTGCTGTTCAATGTGTTATCTGTTGGTTGTTATTTTTGTTGTTGCTGCTGCTACTGTTGTTACTGTTGTTGGTATTGTTGTTGTTCTATTAGCTGCTGGCCGTCAAGCAGAAAATTTAATACTGTTTATTTACACAATTTCCTCCTTGTCTGAGTCGTTGCCTCTTGCCCATTGCCCCTTGCCCGCTTAGGGTTACGTAATGTTTGCATTAATGTTTTTTCGATAGTTGTGGTCTCGTATGTGTGTGTGTGTGGGTGTTACTTGTTAAAATGTTTGGCTGCTAATGCTAACCACAAGCACGCATAGGTTTCTCACTCACACAAGCCTAACCGCAGGATACGTGTTGTAGTCTGGGTGTTGGTGTGAAAATATGGCTTAACAGTACATTTACTTAGGGATTTATGGGTTTATAAACAGAATCGTGCTACGCCACACACCCACACGCTTACACACACACACACACACACACACACACACACACACACACACACACACACACACACACACACACACACACACACACACACACACATACCTACCTAGCATCGACAATGCGTTGCCTGCTATTAGGCGCGTATTTTATTCAATTTTCACAGCAGGTGGTGTAGGCGTTTATTTTGCTTTTCCTTAAACGCGAGCTCATGCTGTTGTTTTTGGTTTTTTTGTTACTGTTGCCACCTACGTAGTACCTTTGCCATGCGTTGAATGGTTTCATTTTTGCACGAGTTGCTGCAAATGTTTTCATTTATTTATCATCGCCTTTCACTTTCGTAACATTTCGCCTTTTTTGCTTTCATTTACGACGAGACGGTCGCTCGTGTTTGCCAATATCCACTGGTTCTGACATGCCAAAGGCATATACAGTTAAATTATCTGCCAGACATGGACATAAATAATCGTGGCAGGGCACCAATGTTGTTACACATCATTGCATTATTGTTTACCAGTCATGTATACATGACGAGCCATCCATAAATAAGCGAAGCGTATATGTAATTGCTAACTAATTTGAATGACTGTCTGCGGTGTCAGGTATTTAATTACCAGCGGCTAAGCTTTTGTTGAAAAATGCGGAGTTATTTCTAAATTAAATGAGCAAACAAATTGATTTCAACCGACATTTCAATTAAACTGCAGAAGATATTTGCAGTTAACAATTTGTTTACTATCAAAAATAAGTTTGTTAATGTGGATTTATGCATTCTGACTTGCAATTCTATATAATTATTGGATAGTTTTTATATAACAAATACATTAATAGGCTATATTTCATTAATTTGGGATTAAAGTAGAAAAAGGTGAACATTTTATTACTGACCTAACAATATAATTTATATTTGAATTTATATTCATTGTTATATTATGTTACGTTAAAGTTAAAGGTACTAATTAATATACTATACTACAAATAAATAATACATAATAATTATTTTTAATACTATTATTGGCTCAAACTGTATTCCAACAGCTCGTTAAAGACAAATTATTTAATAATTAAAAATGAATTGCACTAAGTAGGATGCAAAACCTTACTAGTTGACTCTTGAATGGCTCTTGCTGCACTTAGTTGCTGCTCAGGAATCCAAGGCTTAAAGGATAAAACAAGCAGAAGAAGTCGTCAAGTAGTCAAGTTGTTTTTGTTTGGTCTTCGTGAAATAAACTGTCTAGTCGTCGCTCAGTTTCTAGTCGATTGTTTATTGAAGTTGCATAAACAATATCTCAGTTGCTACTTTTTTCGGTTAGTAAATAATATTATAATAATAAGCCTTACACAAATATGGCAGAGTAAACAAATTATTAACTTTTTATTTAATCAGTCACAGAATAAGATAATTTCAAATAGCTTTGTTATGCATTTTAAACAGAAATCGACAATAAATGTGTTATGTTGTGCAGAAACATTTATGCAATAATTGAACAACCATTACGAGATTTGCTCAAAACACGACAGGTTTTGATTTTCTCATTTAACAGCTTCAAAACCTCGATTGTTTAAAGCCAGCATGAAAACGGTTTCTTCGAATAATCAATTTATAATTTCCACATTTTACAACATGGCAGCTGTAATTGTTTAATAATAAAATTATAAATCTCTTTGTCAAGTGTATGGCAATCGATTTATTTATTTACATAATTCTGTGTGATATGTGGCTGGCTTAAGAGTTGGAGTTGGAGCTGACAGCTGGAGTCTTTAAGCAATATGTATGTATGAAGTCATCGCCAAGCTGTTTCAAAAGCAAACATTGACATAGGCGGCAGTTGAAGCAGACTTGGCCCATATGGCCATACTACGAGTGTGTATGATGCAGAAGTGTTCAAACCTATTTACATTTTGTCATGCTTGCAAAAAGCTGTCGTTCCATTCTTGGCACTTGCTCCTTCCCTAAGCCTGGCTATGTCAATGTCATTGACTGTTGTCATTTTGTTTTGCCCACACACACACACTCACACTCACACACACACTCACACTCACACACACACTCACACATTCGAGCCATTTCAGTGTGCGGCATTTGGAGCCTATTTTCAACAACATTTGCTGCACTGATACTTTTATTCTGGGTTTCTTCAGTTTTTCCTCCCTCTGACATGCTGATCTCTTTTATGAAATGGCGCAACCCTTGTGTGGGCCAACATAGTCGTACATAGATTCAATATTAGAGATATTTTGAATGACTGCGGCAACGTCTGCTGCCAAAGTGCCTTCAAGTGGTCAGTGGGAGGGAGGGGTGTGTGGGGTGTGGGACGATACGGGCCAAGTGGCACTTCAGTTTTATTTAATTTCATGTTATTTGCCATCGAGTAACGAGTCTCCCCCTTCCACACCTCTGCTTTGTTCGTGTTGTGCTGTCAGTTTTGACTGAGTTCATCAAAATGTGACAGCCAGCATAATTCCACAAATGTGTGCTTATTTGTTCGAAATAAGTATCATGCAGCACTATACGTGTGTATGGAAATTAGATTTCAATATGAGAACTTTACTTTTTGTTATACTTGTATACAGATTGCCATATTCAATGCAAATCTGTTACAAATTCAATAATCTACGAGAACCGATTAGGCTTATTTTGACGAAACAAATTGAGTCTTGCAGTTATTTCTTCTGCAGTTTTTGTTCTTGTTTCAAATTCTTCTAAATAATTCGTTTTGATTTTTATTTGATTTTATGACAAAATGTAACAATGTTGAATGTAGTTAGCACTTTGCAGGTTTTTTTGGTGCCCTGGAAGTTTTACTTTTGGAATCCAGAGTCGTTCTTCGAGCAGCTACCCTTGCCACTAGTTGAATAGCACCACAAGTTTTTACTTGTATACCCTCTACCCAAAGGGTACAAGGGTATATTAGTTTTGTGCGAGTGCACATGGATACACAAAGTATATATATTCTTGATCAGCATGACAAGCCGAGTCGATATAGCCATGTCCGTCTGTCCGTCTGTCTGTCCGTCTGTCTGTCTGTATGAACGCAAGGATCTCCGAAAGTATAAGAGCTAGAATAACCAAACTTGGTATACAGATTCTACTGAGACCGAGAAAGGACGAGTTTGTTCATTTTTTCTGATCCACCCCCCCACTCCCCCCTATTACCGATTTTCTATAACTCCCGTAATTCTTGGAATTTTGAATTTGGTAGTCACATTAGGTTCGTAATTATATATCCGTATACCAAGTTTCATTATGATAGAATGATCGGAAAGAAAGTTATAGCCATATAACCAGGCTATAAATACATATGTACAAGCACACAAACACGCATAAGGCACGATTCTGATGTAAATGTAAATGTATGTATGCATGCATGGACTATTTTATATTTAATTAGTTAATATTTAGTTAATTAATTAAATTAATTTAGTTAATTAATTTAATTTAATTAATTAATTAATTAAATTACTTTTTTGTGGGGTGGTACAGGGTATTTAAGAGTTGAGCCTGCTCGACTTTAGCATTCCTTTCTTGTTCTTGTTTCAAATTCTTCTAAATAATTCGTTTTGATTTTTATTTGATTTTATGAAAAAATGTAACAATGTTGAATGTAGTTAGCACTTTGCAGGTTTTTTCAGTGGCCTGGAAGTTTTTCGTTTGGAATCCAGAGTCGTTGGACCGTTCTTCGAGCAGCTGCCCTTGCCACTAGTTGAATAGCACCACAGGTTTTTTTTTGTTAAAATACTTGTTTATTAAAAGTGTAAACATAGTAACCAATGGTAAAAATTTAAAAACCATTTATTCATAAATAGAAAACTATGCAAGCGTTTTCTGTTGCATACTATAGGAGTATATCTGGCACATCAATATAGGAGTAACAGTTTCGGATTTGAATAATGGTTAAAATTTATCCAATTCTTTAATTCTTTAATACGGGATTTGGCAAATGGTTAATAGTTAGCCAATCGTTCAATGAGTTAATACTCCATAAACAGAATTTATGCAAATACAATTTCTTTAATCTTACCTTAATGCTAATTAATTGCATTATATTTTTATATATTTACAGTTGTTCATCAAGAGACACAACAAGTGAATGGCTTAAGGTAAGTAAGTAGCTGCCTATCTAATAATATGGCCCAGACTGCACCCAACAGCCAATTGTTTACAAATAAGCAGAATAATGATTGCCAGCATTAGGCGCAGTTGGTATAGTTTGATATTTGAAATTCCACTTGACTGCTAAACACATTTGAAGAATTTTTGTGGCCATGCCTAAGAAAAATTTGCCTCTAGATTAGGCCATAAAAATCCGCATTAAGCTGTCTGGAAGAGATAACTTTATATGAATTTATTGACATTTCAGTTGGTCAGCAATCGACTTTGTGCCAGGATATGGATGATGGTGTGTGTGTGAGTGTGTTCGAGTAGTATGTGTGAGTGTGTGTATATTATATATCTGTTTGTATTTGTTTGCCGGGGCCGTAGGGCTATTCAACCCACTTGTTTGTTTGTTTTCGTGGGCGGCCCGCAATTTCAGCAAGTGACCGCTCAAGCATGAAAAGGCCAACATCCGCTGAGGCTAATGTGCCGTTGTTGGCGCCCTTCCCCCATCTTGGCCATACCTTTGTCCATTTGTCAGTTGGTCAGTTGCTCACATTGTGGGAACTTGCGTCAGTCAGCATGCCATGAAAAATACATAAATAAATGAGGGGTACGTGCCGCACGTTTCGCATGTTCTTCTCTTATACTATTGCTGATGCTTCTTTTTAGCTTTTTGTTATAATCAATAGTTGGCAATGATTTATGAAAACCATTTTTTCACGACTGCTGCAACAACAATAACAATTGCGCAAACAATGAAAAAGAAAGCATTTGAATTTTAATAAAAACAGCGCCAGCTTTGAGAAGCAGCAGCGGGTGTCCAGCAGGTGCCCTGTCCAGCGCTTAAATCTGCGGTTCATAAATTAGTTTATTCATTTGTTGGCTTGCTTTTTTGCTTTTGCTGTGGTCAGTGGCGCTTTTTTGGTCAATTATTCAAGCCACTCGGAGCGCTGAGCATGCAAGCATGCAAACGGTCCCTGGCCTGGCTTTTGTGGTTGTGAAAACGCAAAAAGCAAAACCCCCAAAAATAAATAATATACAAATAAAAATAAAAAATGCAAAAGTAAGCCAGTCAGCCATCCAACCAGAGTTGTTGGTTGGTCGGCCATTCAGCCATTCAGCCATTCAGTCAGCTAGTCAGTCCGGGCAACCGAGCAACAAACGACAGCACTTAAATGAAATGCATTTGGCAGAAATGCAAGGCCGCAGGATGTGTGACTGGCAGTGTAAATTGCATAAGCTGTGAGCAGGTAAGAACGTTGCTCAACAGGTTAATGCTACAAGCACGGATTTCTCCGTCCAGTTCATTATGCGGCTTTTGACGAGTGCACTCAACGAAATTAAGCACTGCGTTCTATAATCAAGTACCGCGTAAGTGTATTTGCATTTAAATGAAATACTAAATCATTTCAATGCATTTCAAAATACTTTAACGTTTAACAATACAGAAAAAATATTGTTTAAATGTTCGCTCTATTTTTGATTTGAAAGATCTTAACTTTGGTCAACTGCATGCAGCTTAGATGTTTGTTTGTACAATTATAGAAATTTATTATATTATAATATTTATCGTTTTGGGAGTTTATAGAAAAGTGTTCACTTACCTATTTGATTTAAATATCTGCATTTTTTAACGTTCCCAAATTTGCGATAGTATGTCAATGCCTAACTAACGTTTAACATAACATATATAAATTATTGTTAAATTTTGTTATAAATATTCTTTTATATTAAAATTAAATAATTCTGAACCATCTGTTCTGCTTTCGGCCTCTGTTGTATTCGATGCCAGGCAAATGTTAAAGCATTGCATTCGCTAATGTAAGCGTTAACATAATTTCGTCTGTTGCGTCTGCTTGTGCCGACCTCTGTTAGGGTCATTGAACTGTTAACGTTAACATTGTTTCGCCCTTTGGGACTCTTCTGCTTACATCCGATCCAGGCGATTGTGAGGCAAGATATGTATTGGTAACCTACCAATTTGAATTTATTTAATATAGGAACAGAAAAGTAACAAAGCCATAAATTCTAATTAATTTATAGATATCTCCCATACTGATTATAAACTACTTGTCTTGATTAAAGCACTTTTGTTTGTTGTTACTTGTATTTATTGCTTTGTATATTGAACTTGGACAATCTAGATTTCCGCATAGTCAGTGACAATAAAATGAAAAATGTTTGTACTTAGTGTGGTTTTGCATAAAAAAGACTCTAGAAATTGTATTTATAGTCCCTTTTAAGTTTTAACATTGATTAGTACATGGCTAAAACTTGGCTATCAAAAATTATTTTTAAAATTAAGACAAAGAAATAGAATTACAATGAATATCAAAGAATATAATTTTGTCTTAATAATAATGAAACTTTATTCGAAATATTTAATTCAAAAACAGCGGGTTTTTAGTGAAATATAAGCCTAGACTCAAAGACAATAATAAAATAGAGAGAATTTCAAGATTTATTAAATATTATTTTATTGGCACCATTCCCATAATGACGATTAATGTACGAATTCTTTTAGTTTGTCGTTCGTGCTTTACTTAATTCATATTCATAATCTAAACAGTATTTTAATTATAATTGATTTGTTGCAATAAGTATTTAGCAAATTCTTATACATATAAAATTTATGGTCTCGCACATTTAGCACCATTTTAGTGACTGTTTTTTGGAACTATTTTTCTCTGAGTGTGCGGGTAACGGATGACAGACAACGGACAATGAGCAACATTTTCTGTTTATACAGTTGCCTTTTATGTTGCTGGACTCTTGTGTAGCACTCTTTGGCCAAGAGCTCACTTCATTGCCTTCACCCGTTTCATCTCGTCTCGTCTTGCCCCTCTCGCGCTGTCTCGACTCGTCTGGTCTGGCCTACTGCCGTCTCGCCTTGTGGGTGTTTACAAAGGTGTCAGGCAGTCACTCAGACTCAGTTGTCGTTCAGCGCTGTCCGCATTAGACACTCTATTCATATCCTGTGACCGCATCCTGTCGCCGGCAGCATGCCTGACTGAATGACTAGCCGGCCGACTGAACGACTGTCTAGCTGCCTGCATGACAAACGCACTTTACGGCCTACTTACCGGCGCAGGAAGGGAAGCAGTCGGGTCGCCATTGTTCGTTCTACGCGCCACCGCACGCTGTTGGCGTTTTGTGTTCATATGACTTCTCATGCCCAGGCTCATGGCAGGCTCAGGCTCATGCTCATTCAAGGCATTTCGAGCAGCTAGAGCAGCGACAATGTCCGACGTCATGCTGCCTAACGAAGCATAGAGTAAGCTTCTATCGCTTTTTAGATTCAGACTCTTCATGCATGCATCTGTATGTGTGTGCTTTGCCACAAGAAATCAAGCGTAATGAAGCCCAGCAGTGGCTGCCACCGCACCAAAAATAGCAAAAGGCAGCCAAAGTTCATGTTGTCCTCCGCTCTCTCTATTGTTGTCATCCATTGTTGTTATTGCCAGCTCGTTCATTTCAAATTCAGGCGCATCATCAAAGTAGATAAGTATACGGGTACCAACATGCTTAAACTCTTCAAGTGCCAATGATTTGGCATTGATGCTTAAAGTGTGTGATGTTTCGTAACGCCGACCAGCTGATAAGCTCAATTAGAGCTGCTAATTAGTGAGTCTTTCAGCTGAAGTATTTGTTTATTTGACTATCGAAAGCTTGCGCGTGCAAAGCCATCGATCGCACTTTTAATAAAAGAGTTACGGCGTAACAAATGTATTCTTTGCATTCTAAAGTGTGAAGAGAGACAATTCTTTGAAGATAAAGAATTTGCTTAGCACGGCTCTTAGCTCTCCTTTCAGAGTTTGAAATCGGTCATAAAATATTAGGAATTGTCTTATTATAAGTTAACTTACATTACAAGTTACCTTAAATATAAATTAGTGAAGATAATGGAGTCTCGGACAACATTTTATTTGGAAGTCTTTTTATACCCTGTACCCGTAGGGTAAAAAGGCTATATTAGGTTTGTGCAAAGTATGTAACATGCAGAAGGAAGCATCTCCGACCCCATAAAGTATATATATTCTTGATCAGCATGACGAGAGAAATCGATCTAGACATGTCCGTCCGTCTTTCCGTCCGTCTGTCCGTCCGTCTGTCCGTCTGGATGAAAGCGAAACTATAAAAGCTAGAATAACCAAAGTTGGCATCCAGATTCTCCTATGTCCGAGAAAGGACGAGTTTATTTATTTTTTTTAATTTTCCCCCCCTTCCCCCGCTACAGAATTTCGTCAATAGCGTCCACATTTCAAATGGTACCAAAACCAAACTTTGTTTAAAATTTTATTTATTCAATTTTTTTCGGTCAATGCTAAGAAAAGTTATTAGCGAAACAAATTCACGCCAGTACAACCACCCCCCCCCCCCCCCCCCCCCTCCACCCCAAACTGCAGCAACAAGTTCGCTCTTCTTCTTCCTCTTTTTGCTGCTGCTATGGGCGCATATAACTAAGTGACGGAAGTTTAGCTGGGTACAGGGTATTACACTGTCGGGTTTGCTCGACTGTAGCGTTCTCTCTTGTTTAAAGCTTAAACGTGTGCGTGAAAATGTTATCAGATACATAGATTTAGAGTTGGAATGCCCTACATTGGTAGACATACCTAAAAAGTACCTCTTCCAATTGTTAAATGTTTATGTTGATTGCATTCAGAACGAGAGAAGAGGAGGGAGGGAGAAATTATAATTTCCTTTGTGCTATTTGATTATTCAAAACTAATTTCTATTTCTTTGAGTCTATCTTATCTGTAATTATATTTATATGTCTACATACTTGCATTTTAAAATAAGTAGCATGCTATTTATCTGAAACTAACGAATAAGCTTTTGTTTAAAAAAGTGTTTGAAATTTTTTGTTTATTTTTTATAAGTAAGGAACGTTTCTATGTATTTAATGCGACAAGAATAAGAAATGTGACCTTCGTCATGCATACATAATTCAAGCTTTTTATACAATGCATTCATTTGCTGAAAACTTTACGAAATTTTCATT